GTTAGTAAGGAGTCGCCAGACTAACTGTGGCAGACACATCCAAAATGGGCGGGGCGTACTCAAGGTGGGCGGTGCTTCTCGCAAAATTCAGTAACCCGGTTCGCGAGAGTGTTTGGAAGTCGCAAAAACTCAGTGTAGAATGTAAATATCTGGCGAATATAGGGCACGCTCAAAGTGTGTTGAGACCCGCCCACAGTGGGCGGAGCTTGCCCTAAATCGCAGGGTATTCATTTTAAAAGTTTGTAGCTCGGTTCCAGAACACTCCAGACACCGGAAAAAAGTGGACTAAGGTCAGCAGAGGGTCGCCGGTGAGGATTGTGGGGCAAAAACATTGTGGGCGGAGCCTGCTCCGAGGTGGGCGGAGCCAGACAAAAAGGTCTGTAAAACGGTTCCAGAGCACTCCGAAGACCGGAATAAAGTGAATTCAGGTCAGCAAGGGGTCGCCGATTGAGAAATGTGGGGTATACATATTGTGGGCGGGGCCAGCCCGAGGTGGGCGGAGCCAGACGAAAATTCTCTAAAACTGTCCCAGAGCACTTCAAAGACCGGAAAAAACGTGGATTAAGGTCAGCAGAGGGTCGCCGGTGAGGATTGTGGGGCACAAACATTGTGGGCGGGGCCTGCTCCGAGGTGGGCGGAGTCAGACGAAGAATCTGTAAAATAGCTCAAGAGTACTTCAGACACCGGAAAAAAGTGGAGTACAGAACAAAAGGCGGATATCAGTTGAGTCTAGAAATATGTGAAAGAAAATACGCGCGGCGAAGCCGCGCCCGCTTGGCGCAGCCGGGCCGTATCAGAGAGGCCTTAATGACGTGCAACTTTTACACATTCAATCACCAGTCGGCCCGCCGGCTAACGCCGCGGGCCGACTGGTGATTGAATGTTAAAAGTCAGCGTCGATGTAAGACTACGGTTATATGTAACAATATCGGCTGGAATCGCTCAATGCAACAAGCGTTTATCAACAGTAAATAATTAAATAATTAGATAAGCAGTCAACAAGGTGACTATTATCTGGGGCATATTCTTCCTGAAATAGTTGACAATTTTTTTTTTCAAGATTAGTAAAAAAAGGCTAATGGTGTGAATAGAGTGTGATTTTATCGTTGCACTTTGAGGTGCGGATCCCTACACCACCTAACACAACCGGTGCAACTCTGTTATGTATGAAAGGAAAAGCAAAATACAAACCAGGCGAGAATGCGATTATTTGGAAGGTAAGAAATTTAGGAGTTTTGAGAAATTTAGTTTGTCATTGTCAGCGCTCAAACTGAATGAAAATTTCAGAGAATGTCGCACAATTAACTTCCATTCGGTGTCGCCTGCTTTGAGGGATAGTGAATTTTAACTTGGTTTCGTCGTGGGAGAAAAGACTGGTACCAATCTACAGCATATGGAGCGTTTTATTTGGTTTGAAAGGAGGGGGGAGCAGGTTGTGAACAGTAAATCTGCTCACGGTGCTACCGTCAACCTTGGGAGGCTCAAGAACCTGTTATATTCTACCACTTAAACTCTGCGGTTGGACGTGAAATTTGTCACGATTCATTATCCAAGTGTGAAGCCACGTTGATGCTTTGCGATGCCTTTTTTCGGTTAGGTCATGGTGTAACTGCCCTGATTGTGAACCTCTGCAACGCGATTCGCGCGCCATTTACCAGGGAAGTCCGCCAACTTACCATGGAACTTTGAATGGAGACCTGGGTAGATCGATAGTCTATAAGGTTATTTACAAATATAGATAGCAAAACTGCAACCTGCATTTCACAAGCAACTTATGAGCAGGTAAAGTTTGTAATGGTGCAGTAGGGTGGAGGCTTGGTGGTGAGCTGTGAAGCATAAGCGAGGAATCGCATACGTCGAATCGAGTCGTCGAACGTCGAACCTTACCACTGAACCACCACGACTCGATTCGACGTATGCGATTCCTCGCTTATGCT